GTGGCAAGTCTGTGGTCACTGGGCCCTGCCCTGTGCTCGTTCTCAGCCCCTCCTGGCAGGGCCAAGGGACCCAGAGTCGGTGCGGCCAGAGCCCACCCAGCAGCCCCTCTGACACGGAGGTGGGTGTGAAGGCCGCTCCCTGCCTCACTCAGTCTCCATGCAATCAGAAGCACTTGTGGGCTCTGCCGAGTCCTCCTCCAGGGGTGGGACTTCTCCGTCCCTTCTTCCCCTAGACTCCAGGGCTTCTTTCCCTGGCTGTCCCTTTCACCGTCAGCAAGCTAGGGTGGGCTTCTCTCCACGGTTCCTAAGACCTGCCTTCTCCTTGTGCCCAGGAGAACTGGGCACTTGCTCCCAGAGGAGGCTCTGCCCCATCCGGCCTCACCCACCCCGCCCCGGGCAGCCTCGGGGGAAAGCGGGGCAGACTGCTCTGCATCCTGCGTCATTAATAATGAATCTCCAGCGGCTGCCTGCGCCGCCGGCCACCTCCCTGCCTCGGCAGGAGCCCCGTGTCAGAGGCTCGGGAAGCAGGAGAAACAGCTGCTCCCCACTACCTCCAGCCAGGCACAGGCCCCAGGCCACCACCCAGGCTCTGCTCGGGCTCAGGGAGGGTGCAGAGGGGCCTCCTCCTCCTTCGCGGACAGCGGTTGCTCCTCAGCCGGGAGGCACTCACAGCCCTGCCCTGCCCAGCACTTTCAGAGGCCGCCGGGGTCTTGAGCCGCCAGCGCCGCAGCTGAGCGGGGACAGAGAAGGCCCAGCACAGAAGGACCATGGGAGGTGACCCCTGGCCCCCATCCTGGGCTCCTCCTGGATGAAGTCTTTCCTAGCTGCGTCTGGAAATCTGATGCCCTGCGCTGGGCGGGCAGCTGCATGGGCGTTTTCTCCATTGCCGTCTTCAGACACCCTTGCTCCTGAAAGGACGCCACTTCCTCACCTTCTGGGAGAAGGGGCCTCTGCCAGCCCAACATGCAGGTGTCCTTCGTGTGCTCAGAGCACAGCCTCAAGGCCCGGGGCCCTGAGGAGCGCCTGGGCCGGCCAGCAGCCAGCAGCCCCAGCCCGGGTGCCCGCGGCCGCTTCCGCACAGTGGCCATGGTGGCCCGGAGCCTGGGGCAGCTCTCCATGCAGAGCGTCCCGAGCACCAGCAACACCAGCGTGCAGCAGGCCGGGATGAAATATAGGTACGGGGGCTCTGGCTGTGCGGGGTGGGGTGCCAGGAAGCGGGCAGAGCTGTCGTGGCTGCTGGCACTGGGTCAGCCCCCCCGTGCATCTGGGAAGCCAAGCCTCAGGTCTCCACAGCTGTGGAGGAGGCCCTGCAAGTCGGCCCTCTTCCTTCCCCCTGCCTTTGTTTCCTTTTGGGGTGTCTTTGTTTACAGTAGCCAGGCCTCCCCCACATTAATCTCTGCATAGCTTGTTCTTCCCAGCAACCCCAGGCACTGGCCACGGGCCCCAGAAAGTGCCCCACGGGTGGTTTCGGTCTCTACAGAGGCCACAGGGACAATCACGAGTGTCGTGGTCGGGGCAGGCAGCTGAGCCATGCAGCAGAAGGACTGTCTCTCCCTGGCAGACCTGAGCTCCTCTGGCAAGGATTCCGGCTGGCACCCACGCTTTCCTGTGAGGTGCCCAGGCTGCCTTGTTGCTGTCCCCACTCCGGCCCCTATGACTTGGGGGAGTGCGTCAAGCACCCGGGGCAGGACCTGTGTCCCCAGACTGTGTCCGCATGTTGCCCACCTGGCCTTCTGTGTACCCCAGGGACAGAAGGAGGGGCTAAGCTCAGTGGGAAGGGGCCCTGGTAGAGTGAGGGCAGTGGGGGGAGTCTGCCCTCCTCGCCCCATGGGTGGTCCTGAGCCCCAGGTCCTTGGTGCCCAAGCAGATGCTCCAGGGACAAAGTGGCCTCTTCCACTTGAGGCTGCACACACTGCAGAGGAAGGGGGGATAGACCGTGGGATCCCAAAACAGTAGTGGCACAGACCATCCTGGTCGTATCAGAGAACAGACTGGGTTTGTGGCTGACATTGGTGCTGACTCTGGAAGCACAGAAGTGTCCCTGAGAGGGGAGCTGGGCAGCTCATGCCTCCCCAGAGCCATCCACATCCCTGAGCCTGACACCCCTTGCTTGACCACTGGGTTGCGCTGGGGTCCTGCGTCTGCACACAGCCCTGCTTTCTTTCCCTGGTCCTGGAAAGCTCGGTGGGAGTGAGTCCCTCGGCTGAAGGACTGATGTGGCCATGCCTGAGGCCCAGTGGGGACAGCCCAGAGTGGATTGCTCTATTCTAGAAGCTCTGGGTTTGTATCTTTTATCGAGTGGGGAGTCAACAATTGAATGTTTGTATACCTTTTAGTTCCAGTAGTTAGTACCTGCTGTGTCTTTTATGTCAATCCAAAGACCATCAAAGGGATTAATCCAAGACTGCACCGTAAGATGCTATACAAACAGAAAATGTGGCCTTAATGTGGTCTCCTTTTAAGGCTCCTTAAACAGCAGGTCTCCAAGAGCCGGGTGAACATGCTTACTTACATACATGTTTAGGTCCCTGTATGTGCGAGCACATGCGGGAGTCGGGGAGTGAAGGGTTTGCAGTCTGGGGACCTGGCTGCTGGACCCAGTCTTTTCCAGTGAGGTGCCAGTGGGGCCCCCATGCAGAAGGGGTGGTGGTAGAGCAAGGTAGCTTCATCCCCTGGAGGGGGAGGTGTTGGCTCTGAGCAGCCAAAACGAGAGTGGGAGTCCAAACCCAGCCTCTCTTTTCCAAGGGTGTCCCTTGCCCTCCAACAGCACCACAGCCAGGGTGCAGTGGAACTACAGCAAGCGGGGGTGACCCTGACCCTGACCGTAGCACCCACATCCCCTCCCAGGAAGCTTCAGGGGACTAAAGGTGGCCGCACTTGATCTCTCTCTCTCTCTCTCTCTCTCTCTCTCTCTCTCTCTCTCTAAAAAACTAAAAACTTTTTGAGACAGGGTTCCACCTTGGAGTTTAGGCTGGCCTCGAGCTCACTTTGTAGCTCAGGCTAGCTTTGAACTCGACATAATCCTCCTGCCTTAGCCTCTCCCGTGCTGGGATTACAGGTATGCGCCACAACACCTGAGCTGGGTCTCACACTCTTGCCAATGGTCCCGAGTGCCCAGAGTAGGCACAAGGCAGTGGAGGCATGGAGAGGACAAGCCCAAGAACACGAGAAGAGCTGGCATCCTGTGCCCAGGGCTGACCTGGGGCCTGGGCTCCCTGGCCCCAAATTATACCAGAATCATCCCAAAACAACCTGCGCTGCTGCGCAGAGGCCCAGGCCTCCTCAGGGAGCGTGGTGTCTGCAGCAGAGCAGACCTGAAAACACTTAGCGCCTCCCAGCACATGTGCAGTGGCCCTGCGCTTGCAGGAAACACCTGGCTCCTCACTCCTGTCCAGCCCATGGGGTGGCGGCACCTTCCCTCCCCAGGCACATTTTTGGCCTCCACATGGCTAACATGAGCAGCCATGAGCTCTGTTTAAAAAGATATGGAATTCTCCAGCACCTCCCCGCTCTGGCCCTTCCCACAGGGTTCAGGGGGCAGGACGTCCCACGGGTAGAGGGTGGGCACTAGTGTGTTACCATGACCCAGGTCCTGGCTCTGCGTCCTTGCTGGCCATGTCCCCAGGCCCTGGGGGAGACCCAGGTGCATTAATGAAAACCAGCGGTGTTTGGGCTTCTCAATGTTGATCGAGTGTCTTATCATTTTGAGCTTTTATTAGCAGAAAGAAACATGCAGAAAACAATTCCCATCCCCCGTCCAGCGTGGCCTGTCGCTGTGGTCTCCTCAGCACCCCCCTACCAAGTTGCCACACGGAAAAGCGCCCAGCCTGAGGTGCCCTGTCTCTTCCTGTGCCTTCTCCCAGGGCCTGGCAGCGGATGGCAGAACTAATCCCATCACTTCCGTGGGGAAGCCAGCGGAGAGGGGTGATGTGGCATCATGCGGTGCCCTAGTTTTGTTAGATGATTCCTGTGGGCAGTGGGAAGAGGCCACCCAGGAGCCAAGCCCCGGGCTCCCCAGCCAGGCACAGGGGACTCAAAGCACGTTCATTTCATGCCAACCTGGGAACCAATCAGATGTGGGAACAGTGGCAGCGCTTGCTGTTTGCCATGGGTCCCCAACTTGGGGAGCAGCAGGCGTCCACTCTTCAGCCCCAGACGCCAGTGGGCTCGGCCTCGGTCTCGGTAATGTCTTTGATGTCTGTCGTAAGCTTCTCCGTCCTCCCCAGCTCCCAGCATGTCCTAGCATTGTGGGACACATGGCTGATAAAAGGGAACTTTTCACTTGACAGGCTTAAAGCCCACCTTGGCACGCATCCCGGGCAGGAAGTCTCTCCCCACGGTCACTGGTGCAGGTGGCTTTACCGGCTGAGACCGCGGCTCCCTTTGGCGCCTCGCTCTGACCAGACCAGGCGTGCAGTGGGCGCAGGCTGTGTGGGGTTCATGTCTGGGCCTGTACACATTTCCCAAAGGGGCCTGTGAGCCCACAGCTGCGGGCTGTGGCCCGAGCCTGCGATCCTTCTGAGTGGCCAGCACATCTTCTCAGGGACAACCCCCATTTCCCGGCAGCACGCAGCGGTGACACAAGCTGCCCAGTGGGCCTGGCATTGCAGGACTTGTGACGGGTGGTGCCCTTCCCTCCCGTGTCACTGTGTGACGCTCGGTGCTGAGGGCTGTTGGATGAGGTCACTGGTGTATAGAAGTAACATTTCTCTCTCTCTCTCTCTCTCTCTCTCTCTCTCTCTCTCTCTCTCTCTCTCTCTCTCTCTCTCTCTCTCTCTCTCTCTCTCTCTCTGTTTTGCAATACCAGGGATTGAGCCAGAGTCTTCACCCTGAGCTACATCTCCAGCCCTTTTTTATTTATTATAAGCACTGTCTCGGTCACTGAAGTTACCCACATTGGGCCCAGACTTGTGATCCTCCTGCCGCCGCCTCCCAGGGTGCTGGGATCACAGGCGCGCACCTCCATAACCCGCTTCATTTCTGCTTCAACATGGTCATGAAAGTGATTTGTCCATGGTTTATTTCTCTCTTTTTGAGACAGGGCCTCACCTCGCTATGCAGTTCAGGCTGGTCTTAAACTCGCTTATATAGCCCAGGCTGGCCCCAAACTCACAGTGATCCCCCTGCCTCAGCCTCCCGAGTGCTGGGATGACAGACGTGCAACACGATGCCCAGCCATTGTTGGTTCTGCATGAGAAGGCCGGGCTGGCACCTGAGGGCACTGTGGGCTCCTGCCCGTGGACGCCAGACAGACCGACAGTCCCCAGCAGATGGCTGCCTCCAGAGCAGACTGAGCAGCACCCGGCAAGGGTGGGCACTGCCCGGCCGGCTGGGGATGAGAGCTGCAGCGGCCGTAGGCACCAAGGTCCTTCCCCGGTAGTCAGCCTCAGGGCGAAGCTGCGACAGGGCCTGGCCTGTGTTCTAAGAGAGAAAGGTGACCACTGAGTCACAAGCGTGACCCAACAGGATGAAGCAGAGCGCTTCTCTGAGGAGCAGCATCTCCGAGGGAGCTCCGTGCCCCGTGGAGGGCACGGGCAGGGCCGGCTGGAGGCGGCAAGCCCAGCTCTGGCTGCCAGGACTCAGGCTGCATTTATTTTCCAGGAACCTCGGCAAATCCGGCCTGCGCGTCTCCTGCCTGGGGCTTGGTGAGTGTGGGGACCCTCGTGCCAAGCAGGGGGACTTGGCAGGGCTGGCCGTGTCCCTCCTGGTGGGAGCAACACTGGAGCCCAGGACCAGAGGGCGTCTGTTGCTGTGGCAGCCAGGACACAGGCTTGGGGGAGGGGCCCGCGCTCGGCAGCCCAGCAGCTCCTGGCCTGGGGTGCCTGGGAGAGTCCTTTCCCAGCCTGTGGCCCTCTCTCCTCAGCCAGATGTGAGCGCCATCCTCAGCACCCACCACCTCCCCCATGCACACAGCGATGCCCCCCACCTGGCACCCCGTCCTTCCCCCTCCACAGAGAGTGGCCAAACCTGCTATCAGGGAGGTCACTGTGTCCCTGCCCACAATGGGGTGGGACAGTGTGACCCTGCATGGGACCAGAGCTGCATGAAGACAAGTGCATTTCTTCTTTCTCTCTTTTAGTACTGGGATAGAGGCCAACCCAGGTCCTTCCCTGGGACCTCCATCCCTAGACCTTTTTTTTTTTTTTTTTCCAGACTGTCTTGATAAATTGCTAAGTTCCCGAACTTGCCATCCTCCTGCCTCAGCCTCCCAGAGTGCTGGGATTATAGGCGAGCACCATTGGCCTTTCAAAGCCTGGTCTCTCTGTTTGGAGGGTTGCCCTTCAGGCCCGGAGACCCCACGTAGAGAAAGCACACTTGCCCCACAGCCCTGCGCTGCCTGGAGCCTGGGCCACCCCTGCCCCCAGGCCCTGCAGCCTGAGGCTTGAGCACCACGGGGCAGTGGTCTAACTCACGCTTTTGGGTTTGTCCTTCCAGGAACATGGGTGACCTTCGGAGGCCAGATCACCGACGAGGTGAGGCAGCGTTCCTCCACCCAAGCGCCCAGCAGGCTGCGGCCAGGCTACCTGTGTGAAGCAGGGAGCAGGTGCCTGTGGGCGCCACCATGGCGGCCTCCCTCATGCTGCCGAGGGTGCCAGCCCCAAAGGACAGCAAGAGGGCAAGGCGGGCAGGGGCCACCAGGCACCACACGCAGCGGCTGGGTGCTGGGCCTTCCACAAGTCCCGCAGCCCCAGGAGCTCAGGGTACCCACTGCCCCCCCATGGTTAGCAGGGTGCGTGGCTCCCCAGCCGCAGTGCAGAACACAGGTGACACAGGTGTGCATGTGAGTGCCGTGGTCCTGTCTCAGGCAGCAGCTTCTCTGCCACCCTGCGGGCTGCAGACTCAGGAGGGTGCCGTTCCCCAAGCTCCTCGCTATATGCTTTCATGACTCTCATTCATCGCGTGCATAGAAGTCAAATGTCAGCTGGAGTGTATCTACAATCGGGGGAGGGTGACACTAGGAAGGCCTGGCCTTGGGATGAGAGCATCTCAGCCCCCCAGGAGAGGGATGCACTCCCAGGTGGGGTGTACTTCTGGACAGTGGTGGGGGAGGACTGAGACTGTGCAGTCCTCAAAGAGCTCTGCTCCCTACAGTGGGAGGGTCACCTGCGCCCTGCTTCCTGTCGGAAGGGTTGCATTTAAAAATTACTCAGCGCCTTGATTGGAGACCTCCGTAGCTGTGCTGGCTTCGCTTTCAAAGGGAACGCTGTGCTCTCAGCAGGGTCTGAGAGCACACGGCTGTGTTTCTGCTCACCTTTAAGTCTGTGACTGTCCCTGGTCATGGGACTCTGCCAAGTTACTGACTGTGGGGTAGCTGGAGGTGAAGCTTGGCACTTCGGGGCTAAGGGCCTCTCCTGCACCCCCAGACTGGCTCCCAGCAGGGAGAGATCACAGCCACGGTGCTGGCGGCTCGTTCGGAGGAAGTCGGCCGGGCTCAGCCTCCGGGGGTGGTCACCAGGTAGTCGAAGGGCAAGTTCTGCAGACAGCGCTAGCCACACTCGGTGACTGCACACCGACAGCTGGGTGGCACCAGGGCACTGATGAATGCCAGCTCCCGCCAGCTGTGCCTCCCTCAGGGACGCGAATAAAGACATTGGAGGCCACGTCTAGGAGCCAGGCTGGGAGGACAGAGGATCTGACAGATGACACAGTCAGGTTCTGAGAGGCTGTGACTGCAACTGGTGTAGGAGCAAGATTTGTGTCAAGCCGTACAGTGTCAGCAGCAGACCCTCAGTGTGGGGTCCGAGGGCCCTGGCTGGCTGCCGTGCAGCCAGAGGCAGCCACAGTGTTCGTTCCGTAGGCGGCTGCTGCCTGGTCAGACAGCTTGCGGTGAATTTTCATTAAATACAGGAAACACGGAAGTTGCCACTTGAGCCATTCCCAAGGGTTTGGTTGGGTCTTGGTAGCACTGTCACCACCATTTCCAGAATTTTCCACAACTCCACACAGAATTCTGAGGCGAGGACCGCAGGCCCCGCCAACTCTGCTCCCCTCCTGTCCTCGGGCCTACAGCCCATAGTGGGCAAGAAGCGTCGGGCCCTCTCGAGTAGCTGGGATTGCAGGAGTTTGCTGCAGCCCCAGCTAGACTCTGCAGGGTTTTCTGTTTGGTGGTTTGGTTTTGGGTTTGGGTTTTTTTGGCCGTGCTGAGCGTTGAAACCAGGGGCTCTGTAGCACTCCTCTGAAAATTGCCCAGGCAGCCCTAGAACTTGAGATCCTCCTGCCTCAGCTTCCCAAGTACATAGTGACATTTTATCTCAAAAACTAAAAATAGGAAGAAATGATAGGGGAGCAGGGCCCTGGGCCACGTGAGCTGCAGCGGAGGCGGTGGCAAAGCAGCCTGGCCCTGTGGGCTTTTGGCCTCCAGCCCGGGCCAGCTCCATCTCCACAGCATCCAAAGTATTGTAGGCTCTGGACCCACGTTTGAGAACAGGAGGTTTTACTCCACCCCTAAACACCCTGCGGTCACCTGTTAGGGTCACACTAAGTCACTAAGTTGCCCGGGCTGGCACTGAACTAGAGATCCTCCTGCCTCAGCCTGACAGAGTGCTGGGGCGACAGCCTGCGCCTGCACACCTGGCCCCTGCAGGACTTGCTGCCAGGAGCCACCCCAGGCCCACATAACTCCGGTTTTATCATTTCAGATGGCAGAGCAGCTAATGACCTTGGCCTACGACAATGGCATCAACCTCTTCGACACCGCAGAAGTCTATGCAGCTGGCAAGTACGTGTCTTTTATCTCAAGAAAAGGTGGCCGTGGGGGGGACCCGAGCTCCGGTGCCTGCCGCCCTCCTTCCCAGTGTGCTTCCCTCTGGTTTCTTTCCTAAACTCAAAACAGCCTTGGGAGGAACTCTTACAGAGCCGGGGTCACAGAACATTTGGACACGGTCACTTGCTGAACTCCCTGTGTGCTCAGGCACCAAGGTGACCACGGCCCTTCTTACGCCAACGATATGCCGGGCCAAGCCATGAGGACGCTGTCACCCTGGGCTCTCTTGCAGCTGGTGACCTGCACTCAGCCCCACGCCTGACATTTTCCTGTCTTAACGATGCAATTAGGGCAGCATTAGCGGATGGAGTGGAGAGGGCGGGAGGGCGGGAGGGAGGGCGGGGCCTGCTGCTGCTGGAAGCCTCCGTCTTGGCAGTGAGCTTCCCTGCTCAGTTTCGCAAGAGCTCAGCCCTCTTCAGCCAGAGCCAGTGGCTTTGATTTTAAAGACTGGCTGTAATCAAATCATCCACTCCTCCTGCGTCACTCTGTGTTTCTAAAAGTCAGCTTTGTTTGTGAAATCTTTGCCTGGCTCGCTGTTCTCTGGCCCCTTCTGCTGGGGGCAGCCAAATTCCTGCCAGCAGGGTCCTGGCCCCTGTGCTCCGTAGCCGCTGGGCCACCACCTGCCTCACAGGGTCTGTTAGTAGCTGCTGCCTGCAATGGGGCCTGGTGCCAACCCAGGGCCTGGGCAGCTGACAGCCAGGACCCCGAAACTTCCCCCAGGGCCCCTCAGCAGCCCTCCTGTCTAAGCCACGGTCTCCTCCTGGCCCCTCCAAACTGCTTGCAGCTTCCTGTCCAAGTGCAGTGCTATCCAGACCAATAGATGGGCCAAGCCAAAGGCTTGGGGCCAGAGGGAAGCCCAGAGGCAGCCTGCTGAGCCCCTTCCTGGCCCTGCTCCTGCCTGGCACGTGCTGCCCACGAGGGCACGTGGAGAGCAGCTCCCTCCAGCTCCTTCCAGCTCCAGCTGGCCAGCCCCAATGCCCGGGCCCAGCGTGTTCCCTTTCTCAACAGCCCCACTCTGCTGTGCCACTGTCTCTACTCTAATTGGACTCCGGGGGCCAGTGTGCCAGGGCAAACATGCTGGGTGCCAGGCGGCCTCCAGTCCTCTCAGAGTCCCTTGCTGGAAGCTGAGGTCTCAGAAAGTAGCTTCCAATCCACAGCACCTACAATCCCCAGCCTTTCACTCCTCTCCTTGGCCGCTGGGGCTCGTCCTCCATCCTGCCCAGATTTGAGCCAGCTGTTTCTGCCCTCCCTGGGAAGCCAAGCACTGCGTCCTGGGCACAGGCTGGGAGGTGCTGCTCTGGCAGAGCAACCCCTCCTGCTGCCCCGGGTAGCCACACACGGTTCTTGCTTCCCATTCTGACACCCATCTGGGTGCCTCTCAGAGAGCTGCAGCTTTGCCCTGCGCCCCCAGACAGCTGCAGGCATCAGAGCTTGGGTCCCCGTGCTATGAGGCCCCCGTAGCTACTCCGTCATCTTCCTCCTCTCCTGATCCTTTGCCCGACAAATCAGGAACCGAGGAATGAAAGGAAGAGAGGCCCAGGGCTGAATGAATTTTCTGTGGTCCTGACCGTGAATGAGGAGCATTCAGAATGTATGCTAAACAGCTTGCAAATTAGAGCCCATTATTTCTGAGCGGATGACTCAGGCGCTTTTATAACTGGAATGTAGCACAGGGTATGGATCATTCTCCGTCTGTTGTTTTTGCTCAGAAACATTTTGCTACAAACAGAAAGTTCTTAAAAGTTAATCCAGCATTGCTGGAGCAGGGGAGGCTGGAGCAGCCCGCTTGTGACCCCAGATGGCTGGAGTTTGGCACAGCACGTGGGCGATGCTAAGCAGAGCCAACCGAGGCTGGCATAGCATCTCTGTTGCTCAAGAGCAAGAAACCAGGGGGTTGCGTGCCAGCACACACACACGTGTGCACACACATGCACAGCCTCTCCTGGAAACCCCTACAAGATGCGCCTGGTACACAGTTTACCTTTGAAAAACATATTTTCTGCAAACTGCACCCGTACAACAATGCCAGGCGTTTTCCTCCATGCATTTCCTGCAGCCTGGGAAAGGGGCTGCTGGCCTTGCTAGGGTGACAGTTCCTTCCTTCCCTACGGGAGCTGGAGCACAGGCCCACAGCTGCCCTTTGGGCCACCCTGGCAGGTCCCAGCCTCCTTGCCCTCTGGAATGCCAGCCTGGCCCTGCAGCTCCTGTTGGCGGCAGGCTGTCACGGTAGGCCTGGCTTTGGTCTGCCCGTTATGCAGGAGTGAAATCCTCATGTCTTGCTTGCCTTTGCAGGGCTGAAGTGGTCTTAGGAAACATCATTAAGAAGAAGGGATGGAGGTAATTATTCGCTTCTCCGTGCCGCCCATCCCCAGGGCTTGCACGTGCACACACAGGTGCACACACACACACACACACACTCACGGGGAAGGCTGGGGAGGCAGCCGGCACAGGGAAGTCAGGTGTGCTCTGGGTCCTGACTGGGGCAGCCGAGCCACCCGGGGTGGGTCTGGACTTGGCTCACAGGACATGGGGAGAATCAGCATTTGGGCTGTTCCTTCCTGATCACCAGCATAGCACCCCAGGAAGGCCGCGTCAGCCCCTCGAGCAGTCTCGTCAAGGCTTGAGTCCAGCCTTAAAGGCAGCCCCTGCTCCTCCCGGGGGAGGGAGGTTCACACCATGGTGGCTGCCCCAGCCTTTGCCCAGTCGCCAGGGGGTGCATTTCGAGAGGCCACACTCCTCAGTGGAGTGACTCGGTCCCCACCCTCCTTGGGGACTGGCACCGGAACTGACGAGCCTGGGAACCGAAGGGCAGGTGCTGAGGTCCTCCCCTGCAGTGTCCCCACCCTCCCTCCAGGCTTTGAGAAGCATCAGAAGCAGTTAAAGCTGGGTCACCCTCGACCCCTCCCCAACAACCACTCAGCCACTCTGTCCATGTAGGCCACGCAACCCAGCCCACAGGGGTCCTGACACCGCTCCTCCCACCCACTTGCTCTGACTGATCCCAGATAAATCCCTCCCACTCAGGAACTCAGGGCAGCTACCCAGATTAGCAGAAGCCGTGGCTGGGTCTTCAGTGGGCATGCAGGAGGTACATGTTAGACACCCTCCTGCCTCAGCAGCCCCTACAAGAACCTAGAGGGTCGAGGCAAACCCAAGGGTCACCTCCTCCCTGGGGAAGGGACCGCCAGCCCTGTGCTTTTCCCGCCCTAACCAAAGCCCCACAGTCCTGTGTTCCCAGCAGAGGAAGCAGCGGCGGGGCCCGGTTGCCCTGGGATCTCTGCTCATGGCGTCCCCACATCTGGCCCTGGACCCCCGACTCCAGTTCTTGGGTGGGAAAGGCACCATGCCAGGGCTGTTCGATGAGGGCCGTGCCCCCCTGCTTGGCGCAGGGCAGGCATCTGACAATGAAGAGATGTCCGCACAGTGGAGGCAGAGGGGAGCTGGGGGCAGGCCGCTAACTCTGCTTCTCTTCTGTCTCACAGGCGGTCCAGCCTTGTAATTACCACCAAGATCTTCTGGGGCGGAAAGTAGGTGCTGCCGCCGCACACAGAGGCGGGCCAGGGGAGACCGCGGGGGGGGGGGCTCCTTTCCGCTAAGAAAAGCAGCTTCAGCCAACTTTGCCCCAAGCTCGAACCTTGTTTAGTTATTTTTACTTTAGTGGGGTTTTGTTTTTTCCTTATTACAAAGGTAACATAAAAATTCTAAAAAACAGAAAACTGTGACCTCTGCACACCACCCAGACGCTCCGGGCCTCCCCGCCTCTGGCGTATGGCTCTACCACACAGGGGTGGCCTGCTTCTCACAAGAGGTGGGGCTCGGATTCATCCTTAAATTTCAGGAAACCCAAGCCAAACAGAAGGGTAACACTGAGAACCAAAGCCCCTGCCCCCACACCTGGTGACCGTGTCCAGGTTGCGTGGGAACAGTGTCACCCTCTGGCCTCCAGCTGCCACCTCTGGAGTGGAGCCAGGGCACGTGTCGCTTCTGCTGACCTCTGCTTTTTTTGCTTAAATGTTTCCCCGAATGGCCGGGAACATCATGCTTGCTGTTGGCCTGTTTTGCAGAGCGGAGACGGAGAGGGGCCTCTCAAGGAAGCACATCATAGAAGGTGAGGGAAAGGGGGTGGCCTCGGGCTCACGGCGGCCTCTGTGGAGAGAGACCAGGGAGACCTGGAACCCAGGGGACCCTCGTGGAATGACATGGGCAGGACACAGGCAGCCCAGGTCTTGGCCCCTAGCGCCATCTTCGTGCCTGTGGCTTTGATTGCCGCCAAGGTGCAGAAATACCTTCCGTGCATTAAAACTTACACACCGTGGCCTCAGTGCCCCGGAGGACCCAGAGGGCAGACGCGGTTCTCGCCTCTCCTGATCCACTGTGGATCACTAGGGGCCAGAGCCGCCCCAGAGGACACCCAGCCTGTGGTCCCCTCCGCCCCCTGGACAGCTAGACCCCCTCCCTTTGGGATGGATCCTACCCCCCTGGTGTGTCTTCACAACCTCACCTGCCACCTGAAGCTTCAGGAGGCAGGGCCTCCACTCTTCCATCTCCTGCATCCTGAGCCAGGACCAGAGAGGGCCCGGATGTGCTTGTGAGCACGCACGGGCAACTGTGACATCCCTCCGGTCCTCCCAGGTCTGAAGGCCTCGCTGGAGCGGCTGCAGTTGGAGTATGTGGATGTGGTGTTTGCCAACCGCCCAGACCCCAACACGCCCATGGAAGGTAGGTGCTCCCAGGAGAGGGTCTGCACCCCACTCCAACGGTGGCCAGCATGGGCACCCTGGCTGCAGGAGGTCCTGTCCCGTGGGCGGGGGAGGGACGGCCTTCCCTGGCACCTCCAGGCCAGGTCCCTGTGCGTGCCCAGCCCACACCCGGCTGCATTAGAACCTGGCAAATGCCCCCCTCCTCCATAGCTGGCACTGTGTAGAGACAAAGACAGCAAGACAAGAGGACAGGTGCAGCTGCTGCAACCCTTTCAATCTGGACCCCGGGCAGTTTTGGTTTCTTTGGCATTTGTTTATTTCCTCTCTCAACTCCTGTGCCCTCCTGTCTCCCTGAATGCCTGCTATGCCATCCTCTCATTTGTGCTTGCTGCTTCAGGGGCTTGGAAAATTAAGTTGCGTTTGAGAACATTATATATATATATATATATATATATATATATATATATATATATATATATCTCACAATCTATATATCATATATATATAGTCTTTTCTTTTTAGCAGAACGAACACTGCACATTGATTTGTGCCACCCGCCCCTGCCCTGTGTCACACCACGCCTCCCATGTTCCCACAGCTATAAACTCTGGTCTCTTTAAATCTTTCTTTTATCACCAGGGGACCCATTTAGTTCCTCCAAGTCCAGGACATTCATCATAGAAGGTACACAGTACCCTCAGCCGGCTATTGACTTCTGTGTCCGAGCTGCATTTTATGAGACAGTGTTTTTATTTACACGACTCTGTCCCGGATGACAAACTTCTCCATAAAATGCGTAAGGGCGGGGGGAGCCCTGTGAGACCATCTCGCGAGGGAAGAGCAAAGCCGTGTGGAGCCCTCGCCCGGCCACGCTGGCATCTCGCCCCGCTCCTGTGCATGCCTCCGCGCCTGCATGGCTGGGACCCGCAGTGCCCGGCCAGCCGGCCCTCTGCAGGGGCTGCAGCCCGCTCCTAGAAACCTGACCTTGGCCGTGCGGTGGGGAGGATGGGGAAGAGCAGCTCCCACAGGGCGACACCATCAAGGGCCCCTCGGGGGCTGCACTCACAAGCCCCGACCCCTTGCTTCTGCTTCCGGGGCTCTCAGCCCGCCCTGCCTCTGCCTCCGCCACACCCTGGCCCTCGTGAGCAGCCGCTCCGTGCCATCATGTCCCCTGGATGGGCGAGGCCACTACGCCCTCACCTTGGTCCCTGCACTCCCCATGAGTTCACCTCAAGGGCCAGGCCTGCGTCTCCGGGAAACGGCCGTGCTGCACGCCGGAAAGGCTCCCGCCTGCCACCTGGCTGTGCCACCTGACCCCGCCATGTGTTGTGTGTGATGCAGCACTGTGCCCTGGGTCTGGGCACCAGCTAGAAAAATGGTGCCCCTGGCCCTGCCCAGCAGCATTAAATATTGAGGCAAAGGGTGGCTGTCATTAAATGTCCCTGTTTCTAGAGCTGCTGGCATCATGCTTGGCCCGTGCCCTTGCTGTGGGCTCCCTTCCAACAGCCTCTGCCCAGACCCCGCCTCTCAGAACAGCCAGGCACCGGTGCCCTGGCCCTGGCCCCACAGGGCACAGCAACACAGGCATTGTGAGGCTTTGTGGTTGGAATCTTGGTGACAGGAGGGTGTGACGGGCAGGCAGGGGAGCTAGGCTGAAGCTGGGGGCCTTGGGCACCCTCTGGCTGGCTGCGGCCTAAGCCTTGGCTGGTGAGAACTGGGAGTCACACTGCACAGTGTCCACAGTGTTTCTAAAAAGTTTGACAAGGACACTGAGCCAGGAGTCGGCTCCGTGGTGAGGGCCCGTGGGCCCTCCAGTTGTCTCCAAGCCTCTCCATCCAGGCCCTGTCCTCCTTTCACACCTAATGTTGGCATTAAAGTACGGCTGCGGGAGGTCCAGGCTGATTCCCCATGTTCTCCCTTCTGGGACCCCCAGGAACCCTAGCCCCTGATCTTGGAAGGGAGGAGAGGACAGGGCTGGGCCTGCAGGGGTGCAAGCCGAGGTGTGGTTTTCCTGGGGTCTTGGTTCTCCCTGCTAGGAATGTCCCCAGAAGCCCAGCACCTAGGTGCCAGCCCAGGATCCCAGCAGCACAGACCTCAACCAGAGAGGGCAAGGGACCCAGAGGGGGTGCGACACCCCAAGACAGTGGCCCTGAAGTCAATACTGCTGCCCTCCTGCTGGGGAAGGCGCTATGGGCTCCGCGCTGTCCCTAGGCTGAGCTGTCACCACCATGCTGTCCTGCTCCCACCTGCCTGCCTGTTTTCCCTCCTGTCTGTCCCCAGCCACTGTGGGGATGGGGCTTCCCTGTCTGGTGGCAGATGAGAGACGGGGCCCCTCATGGGTGATGTCCCCCCTCTGTTTTTAGAAACACTTGTCCTTGCCCTTCCCCACGCTGCCTGGGCAGCAGCCTTGCAAGCACTGTATGGGACCTGGGGTGGGGGTGCACCCCATGAGGCCAAGGCACACTTAAAATTTGGCAGCTAAAACCACAGCACCCCATGAGGCCCACAGCCCAGGGAGGCCTAGGGCTGCAGACTTCTCTGCCTGACAGACTTCTCTGAGCAGCACCGCACTGGCGACTGGGGTCCTCTCCCCGGGTCGCAGCCAGTCGCTCCTTAGGACGCTGAGCCTCCTAGGCCCCGTATCCCCGCCCGCCCTCCCAGGATGCTGCCTTTGCCCTGCTCTGCACCAGGGGCACGCTGGCCTGCTGCAGCTCTGAGCCTGGGGTGTGGTCCTCCCTGTGCCTGTGCCTGGCTGTCCTAGCCCAAGAGGACCCCGTCCTGGGCCCCACCCTGGAACTTCGCAGGCCTCCTTTCCTGCAGACCCACCTTCCTCGGCACTTTATATCCCAGAAAGGATGCAGAAACTCCCCAGAGACAGGCAAGCTGTCTCCCCCATGCCTTCCCCCAATCTGATCTTCGCTGCCCGTTCCTCGGCTCCTGCCCTGTGACTGCAGTCCCATTCCTGTGTAGACCCCAGAGCCCTGTGCTCAAGCATAGACTCACGTCCTCAGTCCCTCCCGTCTGCCCTCCCTCACAGCCTGTTTCTCCGCAATCCCATATGGCTCCTAACTAGCTGGGGAAACTTATTTTCAAGACCAGCTGCTTGTGGTTCCCTTTTTTCTTTCCTCCCTAAGACCCCCACGTGCACCCCCAGCTTCAGAACCAGGATGTACACTGCCTGCAAGAAGCATCTGCAGCCCTCCCTCCCCCCAGTGCCCTGCCTGCATCTGCAGGAAGTCCTAGGCTGGGCCTGAGCCCTGCCGCCCCGGCCCGCTTCACCCCCTTCTCTCTCACGACAGAAACGGTGCGGGCCATGACCCACGTCATCAACCAGGGGATGGCTATGTACTGGGGCACGTCACGCTGGAGTTCCATGGAGATCATGGTACGGTGACGCCCCGCGTGGTGCCTGGTGGCTGTGGGGGGATCTGGAGCTGATGGTGTGGGGACAGGAGGCTGCACTTTGCAAGGGTGGCATGGACAAGTGGCTGCCCACCCACCTGCGGATCAAACCTGGGAGCCACTCGCCCTCACTGCCACTCGGGCTTCCCCAATCTCTGGGAGGCCCTTGGCAGCACTCTGCTAGCGAGGCAGCCCGCAGGAGCAACACTCCAGGCACTGTTTGAGGGTGGTCTTCTTTCTGACCCCCACCATGCCCTGTGGGCAAGTGCTGCTGATACTGAGCCACACAGAGGTGAAGCTCGAGCTGGGGGTCCCACCACACAGGCTATAGTGGATGCCCCAGCCCTGCAGCCCAGCCTGGCTGCATGGGATCATGACCCAGCTATTAGGGCCTCGGCAGCCCCCCACCCAGCTCCCTTCAGGGAAGCACCCCACTAATTGGCAGCTGCCCTCATGGCAGTATCTGGAGGCCCAGGGCAGAGGCTGGGGGCAGCAGGTGGCTCTTGGCATTTCTGGGCTCAGAGAAGGTCATCAGGGAGCCCTCTGCCCAAAGGCTTGGAGGGGAGAGGCCACCACCACATATTCAGAGAGAGGGCAGGCAGAGGTTTTGTTCGAGACTGGTGCCCCCAACCCCTCGCCACTCTTCTGGCCTTAAGCATGCCCATGCTGGGGCCCCCAGAACCCCAAGCGACCAGCATTGCTCCAGGGATCCCCACATTCCTGCTCTGTGGAAGGAATCCCACCGGCTTTTGTGTCCAACTAAACCCAACTTCAGGAGCCCCCGGCATCGACGGGCTTTGAAGTCGGCAGGATTTGTGAGTGTCGCACGTGGCATTTCCCACGTCTGCCTGCAGCCAGGCCCTGGCTCAGGGTGCGGTGTCCTCACCCTCCCACAAGGGAGCTGAGTCTCAACAGAGTTGGGCACCTGTCGGGTGGCAGAGGTGGCTCCTGGGTCTGTGGAGGCCTCTGCCAGGCTCACGCCCGGGGTGTGGCGGCCGGAGAGCTGTGAAGCTGGAGACTTTCTCGCAGGCCCGCAAACGGGCGGGGACAGCACTGACCCTCCATCTGGACCTCGCTGCCACCGCTGTCGCCCCAGGCCCAGGCTGCGAGGCAGAGACCTTGATAACAAGTGACAGTGTGGCCGGCCACTTTCATGAGGGTATAAGCACCCTTGGCTCACGGGGCCCTCAAGACAGATGGGGAAGCTGAGGCAGGGAGCTGAGGCCCTGGCCCGACGCCTTCAACTTTGGGGTCCACAACCCCCAGCTCACTGTGGGGGTGGGGGCGATAGGGAGGGCCATGTCCTTTCCCTGATGCCCACTGACACGCTCTCCCACCCCGGGCCTTCTGCACCCACAGGAGGCCTACTCGGTGGCCCGGCAGTTCAACCTGATCCCGCCCATCTGCGAGCAGGCAGAGTACCACATGTTCCAGCGGGAGAAGGTAGAGGTGCAGCTGCCCGAGCTGTTCCACAAGATCGGTGGGTGCCCTGTCTGAATCCCAAAACCCTGGCTATGGCCCTGCCCTGACCCCACCCTCGGGTCCCTGACCTGACCTGGCCTCTTTCCTTCAGGAGTGGGCGCCATGACCTGGTCCCCGCTGGCCTGCGGCATCGTGTCCGGGAAGTACGACAGTGGCATCCCGGCCTACTCCAGGGCCTCCCTGAAGGTGAGGAGTGGCCGGCGTGGGAGGGCACCACGTGGGCTTGGTGCTGGGGAGGCTGCGCCCAGCAGCAGAGGGACCGCCCACTTCAGGGCACAGGCCCCAGCAAGAGCTCTTCCCTCCCCAGGCCCACTACCCGCCATGGGGGCCAGGTCCACTGACAGTGTCTGGGGTCCCTCTCCCCATTACCCTGACTCTACCATCCCTGAGGCCTCTGCGGCCACAGGCAATAGGGGGCATCCCCACCGGGGGCCAAGAGGCAGCACAGCAAGACCTGTGGACTCCCGGGTCTCACGTGCAGCCTGCCTCCTCCCACAGCCCGCACCCCGCAGGGCACAGCATCCCATCTGCCACCTGCCTGAGTCTTGCCCACAGTGCGGCCAGGGCACGGAGGAGGCCGTCCACTGGCAGGCAGCCAGGCGACACCTTCACCGGATCTGTCTCCTCCCAGGGCTACCAGTGGCTAAAGGACAAGATCCTGAGTGAGGAAGGCCGGCGCCAGCAGGCGAAGCTGAAGGAGCTGCAGGCCATTGCCGAGCGCCTGGGCTGCTCCCTCCCACAGCTGGCCATAGGTAACGCTAAGCACAGACAACCGTGTCCAGGGAACGCAGCTCACAGCCTCCCTGGGTCTCTTGGGCAGCAGCCCTGGTGGCCAGGAGGAATGGTTCTGAGGGCAGGATTAGGATCCACATTCCTGGCGGGATGGCAGGGGTCCTAGGAGCCAGCGTGGGTCATGGGGAGCACTTGGGTCACCTCTCCACAGGGAGCGCCTGGCACGGCTGTGCATCTGGGACACCCTCGGGGTCAGAGGGCCTGCAGCGGGCCCATGTCCCTCCTCTTGTCCCTGTCCACAGCCTGGTGCCTGAGGAATGAGAGTGTCAGCTCCGTGCTTCTGGGCGCGTCCAACGCAGAGCAGCTCATGGAGAACATCGGCGCAATACAGGTGAGCCAGGCCGCAGCAGGACGTGCACCCCAGCGGGTCCTTGCTGCAGCGCGGACCCCAGGCACTGCTCCACCCCAGCTCCAGGCTGCACAGGGCACCCTGCTCCCGGGAAGCCCCTCTCCAGCAGGCACCTGTGGAAACAGTGCAAGCAGTCGGGAGATGTGGCTGGACAGGGTGGTGCGTATCCTCCTGGCCCCTGGGAGGCTGAAGCAGGAGGGCTGGAAGTTCAGGCTCAGCTTGGGCAGCTCAGAGACTTCATGAGACTTTGACTCAAAGTAGAGGGCTGAGGAGGTAGCTCAGGTGAAGGCCCTGGGTCCAGTCCCTGAAAAGAGAGAGTGCAGAAAAGAGGGAGGGAGAAAAGAGAGGGAGAAGGGTCGTGCTGATGTCAGAAGGGACAGGAGCAGGCGAAGGCAGAGGCAGGGACTGGCAGGTGGAAGCGAAGGCTTTCAGGCAAGGTCTCCAGCACAGAGAGCTTTCCAGGCCCCAGTAGCAGCCACAGGAGGGCAAGGACACCACAGGCCTGCGCCAGGGGCCTCAGAGAATGCAGAAGCAGATGCCCTGGGGGCATGGCCGGAGCAGGGGTACACATGAGTGGGGCTTTGGTGAGGAGCTTGGTGGGGCTCCTGGGGAAACTGAGACAGGCCAGAGACCTGGGTGGTGGACAGCATCCCCAGGGTCTGCAGATGGAAGCTGCGATTGGCTCCAGAGCAGTCAGAGTCACCAAGGTTTTTGTCACCTGGAAGGCTGACGTGATTGTCACCCAAGGTAGGACGGCTGGGAGAGCGGCAGGGCCAGGAAGTAGGCCCATGCACTGCACTACCTCCTGCCCCTGCTCCCAGAAGACCCCAGAGGCCCTGGAGTTGGGAGGGGGGATCTCGGCCAGGACTTAGGCAGTGCAAAGGCAGCCAGGCCTGCCGCGCTGTGCACAGAGCCCAGACGTGAGGGCCGGGGAGCGTCACTGCCTCCGCGAAGACCCGGCAGGCGGAGGGTGGGGGTCTGACTGCTCTGTCCTTGCACACAGGTCCTTCCAAAACTGTCATCCTCCATCATCCATGAGATTGATAGCATTCTGGGAAATAAACCCTACAGCAAAAAGGACTACAGGTCCTAAGCTGCACCTGCCACCCACCAGGACAGTTTCCGGCCCCCTCCTCGCCTGTCTGCTGCTTACGCTGTTTCCACACCAAGTGCACAGTGGGTCTGCATCCAAGAGAGCCCACCACGCCCAGACACCACCGGCCGTGACCTCCACGTTGCCGACAGATGCCGCCTGCTGCTTCGCCAGACGCTGTGGGGTCTGTGCCTGCCTGTAGCCTCCACTCCTCCGGGAAGAAACCAAGTTTGTACCCAGCCTTTCACGAAGACTCCCAAAGACAAGGCCAGGCCACCACCTGGCCAGGCCCTCAGGGCAGGCAGGGTGGGCCTCTTCCCTGCCAAAACCCCTCCTGGGGTCTTCTCCAGTACCTCCCCTCCCACGGGCTCCAGGCACACTGTGCCCAGTCTAACCCCAAGCCCCTTCCACCACCCTTGTCACCCTAGTCCGACCCTAAGCCTGCTGGGCCTTGGCAGGGCCACAGCTGTCCGGCTGGCCCTTGGCTCCCACACCTACCCTTGCTGGCAGGGGCAGAGACCCCAGGGAGATTGGCGCTGTGGTTGGAGACCCACAAAACTTTGGGCATCTAATTTTGGGCTAATCGTCCTATTGTGTTCAGTCCTGTACACAGTCAAGGAACCCCTGCCAGGAGGCCCGGGAACTCAGGAAGCACCCCGGGGACCAGGTCCCTCCATCCCAAATGCAAAGCCCCGATGTCTAGACCACAGCTGCAGACCACATCCTGGGCAGGTGGCACAGCTCAGGCACCGTGCCCAAGGCTGTGCTCCTCTAGGTTGGCAGAGACCTTCCTCTACCCCTCTGCTCTGACCAAGGCAACAGGCTCGGCTTCTGCCAAGAGGACCCGCTCAGCCCGTTCCCAGGCAGGGTCCCCGGGTGCAGGTGCAGGGGCTCATACCCAGCAGAAACTCCCACTGTGCAGGACAAGAACCCAGGGATTATGTGAACCCTGCTCCCCAGAGGGCGGCCGTGGTCACTCCCTTGCATGCAGCCCCTGCACGGCCTCAGGTGAACTGAGAGGGGGAGGTAAACATGGCAGAGCCCCCGACCCTTAGCAGCAGGGGCTGGAGAGTGGGACACAGCCAGGCTCTGGGGGTGTGCACTGGCTGGACCCAGTCCTAAGGGGACCCAGCCTTCAAGCTGTGCGGGGCCAGGGCTGCACAGACCCCGCCCCCCACCAGCTACACCCCCTGGCCCTGTGGAGGAGCCAAGCTCCGCCTGTCAGTGCTGCCCAGCCCATGCCCTCCACCAGGTGTGTGGAGGAGCTGCCATTCCCTCCCCTGCCCAGGGCCTGCTATCCAGTGCAGGCTGGGTGCGAGCCAGGACAGTGGCTGGAAGAGAGCCAGAGACACAGGCAGAGGAGTTGAACGAGGGCGAGAGGAGCCAGGTGCCTGGCTGCCTCCACTCCCCGGGTCCTCACTGGCCCTGGAGTGCAAAACCCCATGGTGCCCTAGTCCAGGTCCTGGGGCACTTGTCCCCCCTCACCCTGCTGCCAGCTTCCATCAGAAGGCAACCTATGGCTATGTGGGGGGCAGGGCCCTCCAGACAGGGGCCACCAGGCTGTAGCCACCCCTCTGTGTTAAGACTGGAGGTGGCTGTCCTGGGACAGGCCCTGTGGGGGCCTGCAATATGCAGGTCACCTATCCTTGGCTAACAGGTGGTCACTGGCCCTGCCTGCTGCAGGGAGGAGGAATGTGGCTTGCCCAGGGCCTGGCTCTTAGGGACCACCCTGGGGAAGCTGGAATCCCTGTTGGCTGTTTGCCCAAGAAAGGGAGACCTGAGGGAGGTCCACATGCACAGGACCAGGCCACCTCTGGTTCTAGGGGTGCTGTTCCAGCCATAGCCACCCACAGGGAGAACAGGGCTGTACACGCTGGGTCGGGGCTCGGGAAGGATGGGCGCCAAGGGCCGGTCAGGGCAGCTCGAGGGTCCTGGCATGGGCCCAGGTCTCCCTTCCACAGTTCCAGCTGCCCTGTCCAGAGGCCAGCCCGGGCCGGTCTTCATCGCTGACAGCGGGGCCCACCCCGCCCTCCAAAACCCATGGTGAGGGCCCAGGCCCGCCCCCTCCACCACACAGCCATGTACATAACTAGCTTTCTCTCCTGTTTTCTAATGACCGTGGTTCCTCCGCTAACTATGTCCCCCCAGGCAGAGACCATCGCGCCTCCAGCTTCCGGAACAGCCACGTATTTATGGAATGGCAAATAAAACCCAAGCCGGCGGTCTGTGCGCCTCCTGTGCCCTCATTTCCCCAGCAGCAGCACGGGAGGAGGACAAGGCCACCAGCCGCAGGCACCCTGGGCCCAGCCCCACAGCCAGGACAGGGCAGGAGGGTCTCAAGGGGACAGAGATTGAGGTCACCCTAGGGACCTGCCCCTCATCTCAAGTGATTCAGGCCCACAGAAGATCGGGGGGTGCCCTAGATCCCAGACACACTCTCTGCTGACACTTGGGAGGGCCGAGGGTAAAGCCCAGTTCCAGGCCTGGCCAGGTGGTCTTAGGGGCGCATACAGGAGGCCAGCACATGGCTGCCTGGGGCTCTTCTTCCTCCCAGTGAGCCCTGAGCCTCAGAAGGTCTGACTCCTGGAAAGATGAATGGACCCCCCCCCACCCGCTCCCAGATGCTTAAAAACTGCTCTGAGCCACTCCCTTCCCAAGGATTTATTAAAACACAGAAACCAAAACATACACACAGAGTACAAAGTAAAGGCGACTGTGCTGGCTATAGTCTGTCCAGCCTCCCTCAGGCCAGGGCAGGGAACACGTGGCACGACTCACAGGGGGCCCCCAGCATCCAAAGCTTGACCTCTGCCTGGGGGGACCCCAGCTGAGATCTCCCACACCCCACTGCCCCAGGCTGGCTCCGGCCTCTGTGAGAAGAGTTCGGGACACACACACACACCCAACGGGCCCTTTCTGGGTCATCGCACCTAAAAAAATACTTTGTTAAAAAAAAATCTGAAAATTAAGTGGGGGGAAGATCATAAACACAACCACGCCAGTGACTTTGGGCTGATGCACCACAACTGTAAACTTCCGGGTGTATAAATGGGGCACGCGTCCTCCTGCCTGCGCCTCCGGGCACCACCAGGCCCCTGGCAGTGGGGGCACTTGGCAGGCGCAGAGGGCAGCTTGACACTCCAAGCAGCAGGTGCTGGCCCCCAAGGGGCCTCTGTCCCCCAGGTCCCCAGCCCTCCTCAGCTGAGCGCCTCCTGCAATACCTGGCAGGGTGGCAAGAGCCACTGCGAGGAGCCCCGTTAGCCCGGGCCTGGGGTTGGGGACCCCCAGGGACTGCGGAGGGCACCAAACACGCAGGACGACCTTGAACACATGGAGAAGCCAGATTCACAGGACACTGAGGAGCTTCCAGCAGTGGCTTTCAGGGAGCCTCTCCTCCCCTCAGGCAGTTCACAGGGACGCCAACACCAACTCCCGGTGTCACCGAGCACCTTCTGAGACTTCTGACCCAAAGGTGGTTCCATAGAAATCTGGCCCCGCTGGGAACGGGCACACAGGCTGCCAGCAGGGACTCTGCCACACACAGGCCCCAGCTGTGCTGCAGCAAAGCCACGCTCAGGCCACGCTCTGGGCCCTGCAATGCCCCACCTCCCAGGTTCCCCGCTCTGCCCCTTTGGGACTCTGGATGAAGACAGGAGTGCAGGAAGGGGTAGGAGGGGTTTGGGGGCTCAGAAAGAGCAACACTGCAGACTGTGGGTCCAGACACGCCGCAGTGACTGCCCTGCCCCCGGCTAGGCCCAGAGACACAGCATCCCCACGCCTCCCCCAGAGAGCCCCACGGGAGCTACTCCAGCACCCTGCCCAAGTCCCCTCCTCACTCAGGATTCTGTCCCCAGGTCACTTCCTTCTGGGCTGGGCCAGGGCCAGTGAAAGGGTCAGAGACAAGCCGGCCTCAGAGCTGGCTGCATCCCCAACCGCCACCCAGCCAGGGCCACAGCTCAGTGTTTCGGCAGCACTCTAGCACATACCCGGAGGAGCTGGCCCAGGCTCCAGGCTGCCCCTGCAGGCAGGCAGGCAGGCACCTGAGAGACAGAGGCAAACAGGTCCGGCCCTACCCTCCAAAAATTCAGCAAGTGCACAGTGGCCCTGTACAGAGTGTCTAGGCCTCTGCAGGGACGGGGAGACAGAGTCCCCTCCAAGGGCGGTCTGTCTGGTTCCTTGGTGTCTGTGGCCCAGGGGACTCTTAGACAAAGAAGTCAGCAACTGGAGGTGAGTGGGATAGGCCTCCTGTGGCCTCACGAACTGCCAAGTCCATGACCCTCCCTGCCACAGCACGAGCTACACCTGCCTGAAGCCACACTTCCCGCAGACAGGGACCCTCCACCCCTTCCTCAGTGGCAGTCACAGCTTCAGGCCCTGCCCACCTCTGGGGCACCCTGCAACCTGCCATGCACCACGAAGGACACCACCCCACTGCTGTCACCAGAGCCCAGGCCCTTTGCTATGCTGGGCCAGGGACAGGCTTGTGCCCACCTGTTCCAGGAGACCCCAGGAAGGAGGCAGGAAACAGCTGCCTGCCCCTGGGAGCAACTAGAGGGCGGGACAGCTCTGCTACCTGAGTGGCCTGTGGAGGCGCTCAGGCAAGCAGGGGACAGAACAGAACAGTCATCAGACAGGCAGACGGGATGGGGTGAGGGACACACTAAGGGCTCGCTAGGTCACCAGGCACTGCGTCCTCTCCAGCAGGGCAGTCAGGGAGCATTCCTTCAGGTCCAGAGCCTGGTGACAGGGACATGGGTGCTCCAGGGCCAGAATCTCCAACTTTATCAAGACTAAAGCATCCATGTCTTCAATAGGAAAGCAGGAAGATGTACAGATAAATATGAATCTCCTCTAGGAAGCTGCTCTGAAAGGGGTGCAGGGGGCACAGCCACCTGGCCATGGACGAACACTCGAATTATGATGAGGTGGCACTTCCGGGCTCCGGCTCGGCTGGGCTGGGCCTCACCCTCGGTGCAGAGGCTGTGGTGTCACTCGGTTTCCCTTCTCGTCCCGAGGTGGCACCGGCTCCTACAAGTCGGTAGCTTTTCTCTCCCATGGGGGTCGGGCGGGAGGCCCAGCAAGCGCGGCTACAAAAGGCAGATCACGGAGTTACGTGGCAGAGGTAGCCAGGTGGCCAGAGACTCGGGGAGCCAGAACAGACCCCAGAGCTCGGAGGGACCCCAGCACCTCCACCCTCGGGTGACAGCTCTTAGGGAGATAAATGGGACTCGGCAGCAGTGGGGGCCTCAGAAGGACTCAGCCTCCCTGCTCCTGGCCACACCCCCAAGCCCTCAGCCACCCTTGGGAGAGGGGAGACAGCAGGGCAGGGCAGGCCAACTCGTCCTGCCTGGACAGCAGCCAGCCGCCAGCCAGGCAGCGGGGCCTCACCTCAGCTGGACATGAGCGCTGCGACGGGCGGGGGTTGCGGGGCCGGCTAGATGTCTGTAAAGAGAGCACGCGGCAGGTTTGCCCGGTGTCCATGGCAGCGGGCAGGCCGGGTCCCGCAGGGCACCCGTGTGCATGCTGCCCAGAGACGGACGGGCACCTACCGGTCACATAGGGCCCCAGGGGCATCTGGTTGTAGTTGACAATCCCTCCCGGTCCAGGGCCCCGGAAGTTGGGCCCAAAGTTGCTGTTGTACATCTGGGAGGAGCCGAAAGCGCCCTGGAGGCAAGGACTCAGCTTTATGGATGTGGTCCCGCGCCCGCCCACGCCCTCCTGGGACGCCCAGACACGCGGGCCGAGCCTGACCTGCTGGATGGTGGGGTCCCCGGCGCGGTTGGTCAGGCGGCTCAAGATACTGCGCTCCGACATCTGCAGGCGGGCAGCCACCGGCGGGATGCGGGACAGCATGGAGGGCAGGCGTGTCACGTCCGCCTTCATGTCGCTCAGTAGCTCCTCCAGCTGGTTCAGTACTGCGGGGTGGGAGGTCAGAAGTCGACGCTCTGCCTGCCCCTAGGGTGCAGGACATCCCTGGGTGCTATTTGTCCGGTTCGGCAAACTGCCGGGCACCAGGGGGCGCTGCTCGTCAGGTCTTCCAAGGACCAGGCGTTACCTGGGGGAACTGTGGGGGGTTTCCAAAGAACACCTCCAGGGGCCCGTACTTTCCACCAGCTGAGAGCTAGGGACTGACCAAACCAAAGAACCCTGAGCCTGGGGGAGCAGGATGGAGCCCAGAACGGGGCTGCAGCCCATGCAGGGTGTGGTCAAGCTGCTTGATCAAAGGCCTGCATGTCCCTCTCTGCTCTGAGCACCCTGCCACCACCCCGGGAGCTGAATGCGTCAGACAGGAGCCCAAGGATTACAGGCCTCTGGGGCGAGAGCAAGGTCTGAGCCCCGGAGCCTCCCTGGACTACAGTGCCCTCGCCCTTAAGGACCACCCAAGGGACATGTCCCTGGAAGCACACAGCACGTGTCAGGGAGACGAGAGCAACTGGGCCCTGCCCAGTCTGGCCCACAGCCCAGAGAAGGAGCGGCTGGCAGGGAGCTATGCCCTCCAGGCTGGCATTGTGCCCGTGCCAGGGCACAGGCGGCTCACCCTTGTGCAGCACAGCATTGGCCGGCTTGTTCCCAGCCAGGGACTCCTTGGACAGGTGCTGGTGGCTCTCAGCCAGGCACTCCACCTCGGCCAGGCGGGCGTTGAGGGCCATGGCTGGGTGGTTGGGGTCCTGGGTCATGTTGAGGTACGCGGCCCTTCGCAGCTGCTCCTCAATGACCAGCGCCTGCTCCAGCAGCTGGGGAATGACACGGCACTGGAATGGCCTCTCTGGACAGCCACTACCTCCCACCCCAGCACCCAGGACCAGGGAACAAAAGGGAGACATCCTGCCACCCACTGTCATCCTCACTAGACCTGGCCAGACCTTGGAGCTTCCACCACACCGGGGTCCCTGAACCCATCTCACCCTACCGTGGGAGACGCCCACCACTCTGCCTGGTGACTGACTGCTGGCTCTGAACAGCCTGGCCCATGTGCAGGTCCCCATTCCAGGCCTCCCTCCCGGTGTCCAAGGCCCCCCACCCCGAGCCCCACCAAGCCTGACCTTGAACCTGCGGGCCAGGAACTTGTTCTTCATCTCCAGGTAGTTGCCCTTGTGGATCTCTGACTTGAAGGGCTCATTGAGGATCAGGTACCGGGGGTCGTTCTGTATGTCCTGCCAGCGTGCATACCCATGCCTGCAGGCCAGCATTAAGGCAGAACCAACGCAGAAGCAGGGACGTGGGGGCTGGCTCCCAGCTTCCTGCTCAGGCAGGCCATCAGCTGTTGGGGCCACTAACGTGGGAAATCAGGTGCATGTGTGAGGGCAGAACAAGACCCAAGTGCCTACCGCAGCCCAGCTACCTCAGACTGGAGAAGAGCACCCTGCCTGGACAGCATCGGTCATCAGCTGCTAGGCAGCCTTGTGTCTCGTGACACTAACTTTGCAAGTGTATAAATGCACCCCCTGTCATTGTTCTTGAGGTCCTTTGCCAACCCGGCCAACCACCCACCACCTGACCCAGCTCCGGTCTTCTTACCCTCACTTCTGCCACCAGGTCTCCCCGGGGCACATAGAGATACCAACAGGCCCCTGCAGTCAGCCTCCACTGATGATGACAATGGTGACAAAGCCAGCAGTGGTGGACATGTATGGCGGAAGGCTTCCTTCCCGAAGCTAGCCCCCCACCACCACCAAGAGGTGTTCGTGGGGGTGTGGCCTGGAACAGGCCCTCCCTCCCCTCCTCTCCCTCCCCTCCCCTCTGCTTCCTGCCCACCACACTGTGAGCAGTGTTCCTTCTGCTAGTCTCCTCTGCCACGGTGCTCTGCCTCAGAGACAGTGGGCTGAAACTGCTCAAACCGGGAACCAAAATAAACCTCTTCACCCTTACATGGTGGATGTCACAAACTGTCTCAGCCATGTTTGTTTGACTCACTATATAGCCCAGGCTGGCCCCGGGCTCATGGTGATCCTCCTGCCTCAGCCTCCCCAGTGCTGGAATGAGGGATGGGAAACCACGCCCTGCCAGAAGAGGGAATTTTGGACACAGACACACAGGGGAGGCCTGGTGACGGCAGAGGAGGCATGTGCCCGCCCAGTCGCAGGTGCCACACAGCCAGCTGACCCAGGATACGTCACGATGCCTGCCAGCAGCCAGTAGTCATGGCGCCGGTGCCAGATGTCGTAGATTTTCCCCGAGGACACTGCAGCCCGCTCCTCGTTCTGCCACAAGGTGTGCAGCTCTGGGGAGAGAGCCAGAGTGGGCAGGGGGCAAGAACCCCGCCGTGCTCCCACCCTAACCTGAGCCTGGGGAAAGCCACCTCTCCGACACTGGCTTGTGGCTCAGGTGCTGCTGAGAAAGGTAACTCCATGGCTTTGACCAACCACTCACACGCTAGTGTACCGCAGCCATCTGCCCAGATCCCCGGGACTCCACACCTGTGAAGCCGCCGTCCGCAATGTTGAACATGAACTTGAACTTCCCGCTCTTGTCCTCTCTCTTGCCCTCCTCGTCTTCCTCTCGGTCACCATTCTGCTGCGTCTCACCGGCTTCCTTCTCGTCTGCCTTGGAGTCCTCTGTGGGGAACAGGTGGCGTTCACTCTCACCTGGAAGGGTGCACCCCTGTGCTTAATGGACTTCAAAGGGGCAAATTGTAGCCCTGTGTCTCAAACGGGGAGGCGGTTCTGGGCCCGCCTGGGGCAGGGCGGGAGATCGTTGTTCAAAGAGCTGAGGAAGAGGCTGAGGCAGGAAGCTCTCCACAAGTTTGGGGCCAACCTGGGCTACAGGTGAGCTGACCAGAGCATGGCATCCTAGAGGTCTCTAGAACGGAACATTAACCCTCCAGGCCCTCTCGCACCAGCTCGCCCCCTCCAGGTCCAGGGATGCAGTCCTTGTGCTATCAGTCTCTAAGCAGGCCAGGAGCCTCCTGCCAGCTCCAGCCAGGGACTGGGACCAAGAGACGGTGCCTGGGAGCTGACCGGGGCCCAGGCAGTGGCCCACAGAGCCCCAGGGACATGCAGCAGAGAGGAGAGAGCCCCACACCTGGCCCGAAGTCGCTGCCATCCCCTCTGCCGTGACTGAGCCCGAGGTCCAGCTTGTCCGGGGCCTTCTCCCTCTCGGGCGGCGCCTCCTCTGCAAGACAAGGGCTCATGGGTGGAGCTCGGGAGCTCAGGGCCCCTCCGTCACCATGCCACCGGGGCCAGCAGACGCGCGGCCCTGCTCATGCTCCTCGTCAAGCTCCTGCGCCTGTCCCCAGCGCCCCAAATGCAGATGCACCGGCACGATCCGTGGCACTAGGGGCCGGGGAGGTGGCTCAGTGGAATAAGCACTTCTCTGGCAAGCGCAAGGGCCTGAGTTCAATCCCTGGTTCCACAAAAAAAAAATCCATGGCATTAATGGGGCTGTAGTGAGAGGCAGTGGCTGGGTGCCTGCCCAGCATGTGGGAAGCCCTGGGTTCCATCTCAACACCACAAAAGTACTGCTTGAGGGTTTATATACTGGAGATGGCCCTGAAGAAGCACGCAGACCTGTGCCTGGAGGCATCTGCAGTCCCAGGTCCTGGGAGGCCGAGACAGGAGGACCCCTTGAGCCCAGGAGTCCAGAGACTATTTCAAAGAGAAAAACATCACCAGATGCCAGAAATGAAGATGAAATCCCAGCCAGGGATGTGCACACTGGCATCCAGAGGCCCAGGCAGGGGGTACTGGGCACCAGCGGAGGATGCAGGCCTGGAGCTCAGGGCTGCAGCTCCACACCCAGGCGGAGGCAGAGGAGACAGCCCGAGTTCAGCACCTGGGCCACAGCAAGCGGGGAAAGAAGGTGCCCACGAGGAGCGCAAGCCTCAAGCCCGGTGGCCAATGCATGAGACCGTAGCACACAAACCAGCCCCACAGCTGGCGAGGCCACTGGGCCCCGAGCTTCCAGAAATAAAGGGGAAGGACACAGCACTAACTCAGGGACAGGGCGTCCTGAGGATAAGACGGCCCCTGGCAAAGAGGAGGTCTGTCAAACCTAGAAAACCCAGATGCGTCCACCTCAGGCAGGACCCAGCAGACGCGAGCGCTCAGACAAGTGTCTGGAGATGACAAACCCAGATCAGTTAGACACCACAGCAAGTCTGCAGCCAGGCGTGGTGGCACACACCTGCCATCCCGCCACTCGAGATCACTGTGAGTTCAGCCCGGGCTACATAGTGAGTTCAAGGCCAGCCTGAACTGCACAGCAGGACCTTGTCTCAGAAGAGAAAAGGAGAGGAGATGGGAGGGAAAGGAAGGGGACGGAAGAGTAGGAGAGGAGAGGGAAGAAAAGCAACACAAAGGAACAGAACCCACAGGAGAAAGAATAATGCAAAAATATGGGAGAAGCCAGATGAGACTTCTAGAAGTAAAACACACGGTTGGTGTCATGCTAACTGCAGGACTCTGCAGACCCCTCTGAGACTTCCAGGCCCCTGGCCACCACAGCCTGTGAGTCCAGCACTGTGAGCAGGACGCTCTCACCCTGTGGCTACGGAATGTCCTGCTGCACAGTGACTGAAATACGGAAGGCTCCGGGCCAACCCAGCTTCACTGAGTGAGCCCTTAGAAACCAGCTTTCTCTGGATGGTCATGAAGAAAGAGGCAGCCAGGGACGCTGCGCCCCTGCTGACTTGGGATGGGGCAGGGAGCATGGGCCACCAGCAGGAGCCCGCAGGGAACGAGGACCTCTGATCTGCAACCTCCAGCAACCAAGTCCAGCCAGCGACCAGAAGCAGCTCGGGAGTGACTTCCCCAGAGCCTGCAGAGGAGAACTCAGCCCAACAGTGTCCCGTGAAACCCTCGGCGCAGAGCCCAGCACACGGCGCCGGGCCTAGGTGTTCAGGAATGGTGCACATTCGCGTAGCATCAGCAAAAGGTGGAGCTGGACGCCATGGCGCATACCTGTCGTCCCAGCACTTGGAGGCTGAGGCAGGCAGATCACTGGGGGGTTGAGGCCAGCCTGAACTGCATAGAAAGGCCCTGTCTCAAAATCCCACAACCCACGGAGCCGAGTTAAAGCTCACTGGGAAAGAGCCAAGGCCCAGAGCAGGCCACGTGTGGTGGGCCCCTGTCCCACCAGGCCCCTACCTTTGGGCAGCTGCTCCGGGGACCCCGGAGCCTTGTCTGTCTCTTCTGGTCGCTCATCACGGGCTCTGTCTTTGCCGTCTGAGCTCTCCTGCTTGTCCTCCCCATCCACTCTGTCCAGGGCAGCTGGTGGGGCCTAGAGGGGACACACAGGGGCTGCAGAGCCTGGGACTCCACAGGCAGAGGGTGGGTGGAAGGCAGATATGAGCCCAGCCCAACTGCACCACCTGCTGCAGCCTCAGACCCAGGCCCAAGCCGACAGCCAGGACGTGGCGCACAAGCAGGCCAGGCAAGGCCTGGGAAGGAACCCAGATTCGGTGTCTGCCCCACAGCCACCGTCCTGGTGCTGGCGACCACCATACCTGGGTGTCCAGGGGCTTCTTTGGCTTCTGCAGCCCTGGCTCCTTCTCCTCTATGTAGCCCAGTGGGGCGTCCGCTTTGTCTGAAAGATGGAGGGAAAGAGCAAATATGGTTTTGGGGGAGGGGAAAGGCCAGGGCCCAGGCGTCCCAGAGTGCCTAGGCCAGGCCTCTGACCAGAGGCCAAGGGGCAGCCCAGCAGAGCAAGGGCTGTCGGGACCCAGCTCTAGCCACTCAGCTAGAAGCAGAGAAATGAGAGATGGGGCCCAGACTGGAGCCTGACACTGGGCCTGGCCCCACTTTCCAACTGGCTGACTCTTTCGCCAAATAAACACATAATCACCAGAAAAACACATAAAAACTAATAAGCAAACATGGCCAAAAGCTTGCCATGGCAGCACACACCAGTAATCCCAGCACTCTGTGAGGCTGAGGCAGGAGAATCTCAGGTTTGAGTTCAGCCTGGTCAACTAGTGAGACCCTGTCTCAAAATTTAAAATTAAAGGGGGAAGGGGACTAGAAATAAAGCCCAGCACACAAGCCCCATGTCCAATCCCTAAAACCACAAAAACAAAATAAAATACAAGCGAGCAATAAATCTGCAAAGATGTGTCTTCAAGCAGATATAAAAATAGCTCAGAGGGGGCTGGGGAGATGGTTCAGTGGAATAAGCGTTTCCCTGGCAAGCGCAAGGGCCTAAGTTCAATCCCCGGTTCTGCAAAGAAAATAAAAATAAAAAATAAAAATAGCTCAGAAGCACAGGAAAAGATGGACACTCCAACCCCCTGCCACCTGGCGGACGCAAGCCGCGCCCAGAGGGCCGGCCCTTCTCCAACCCCCTGCCACCTGGCGGACGCAAGCCGCGCCCAGAGGGCCGGCCCTTCCTTCCCAGCCACAGGGCAGCTGGCATCCAGAAGGCACCAGCCTGTGAAGGCACCGAGGGGTCAGAGCCTCGCACACTGCCAGCAGGAGAGCACAAGGTACGTGGTCCCTCGAAGGCGCCCATGGCTGCCACTCACGGGTGGACACCCAGGGCAAACAGGAACCGAGCCACAGAGCTGGGGACAGAGCCCACCACAGGTCCTACACAACTGCCCAAGCAGCCACAGCCCCCACGCCCACCACGGGTGAACTGACCCACAGGCCAGAGGTGGCGGCACACCCGTGACCCCTGCGCCCAGGAGGCTGGGGTAGGAGGACCACCGAGAGCGCAAGGCCAGTGTTTTGAGACACTGCCTCAAAAAATAAAGCATAAAGCATAAAGCACAGGTCAGGCTGCAACGTGGATGCACCTTCCAGCAGGCTTGTCAGATCACACAGCGGGCAACTACACAGAGCGTCCAGAGCCAGCAGGCCCTTGGGAAGGGCTGGGGGAGGGAGGGGCCAAGGGCACCCTCGTGGGGCTTCTTGTCAGAGGGATTAAGTGTCCTGGCCCTGAGCCTGGGGTGGGGTAGAGCTCTGAATAGAGCTAAGGCACATGAAAAGTTCACCTGTCCGGGCTGCATCTGAGTGTCCCCTCGAAGCCTCATGCAGTCATGGGTGGGGATTTTCCAGTAGGGGCCACATCTAGGGTGTGTGGAGGATGCTGGGGTAGATCCTGGTCCCCTGGCCCCCTGCCACACATCTTTGCAGATTCATTGCTTGCTTATATTTTATTTTGTTTATGTGGTTTTGGGTACTGGACACAGGGCTTTTTTTTTTTTTTTTTTTTTTTGGTGGAACCGGGGATTGAACTCAGTCCTTTGCGCTTGCCAGGGAAGCACTTATTCCACTGAGCCATCTCCCCAGCCCCAAAAAACGATATGGACACAGGGCTTTTGCACTGGGCTCCATGAGTGAGTGCTCCCTGCCCTAAGTAGCCCAGATAGGATGTCAGGAACCAGAGCTTTGGTGGGCCCTTGTGGCTCCGCTACCTTCAGCCCACCATGAGCCACTTCTCCTCTGCAGTGCCACCCTGCCTTAGAGCCAGCCAGTTATGGATTGAAACCCATACAGACTGCGAGCCTAGGAGACCTTTCCTCCTTTGGCTCCGGGTGTTGAGTCTTTGGTCTCCGCAAGAGAAAGGTAACCAAGACAGAATGTGGTGCCAGAGAACTAAGGTTGGCACTGGGACTGCCTGTGTGGCGCAGAAGCCTCTGGGACTGGCTGGTGGGAAGAGCCAGGAGTGGGTCAGGGATGCTGGCTGGAAAAGAACAGCTGGAAGGCCCGGCAGTATGTGATGGGAGGTTCTGGTCAGAGCCCAAAAGCTGCCAGGACTTCTGGTAGGAAGGAGGGCTGCACTGGCCGGCCGCTGGACTCCAGACAATGTGTGCTACGCACAGAGTGTGCCTGCATTTTGCACCTGTGCAGAGACTGCTTGAGACTGAGATTAAGGGCGGCAGACCGACTAATCTAGCAGAAGAAATTTCAAGGTAGTCTCATGTGGAGGCAATAGCATGGCTACTGGGGGAGAGGGTTAAGCCAATTTTATGTTGAGAATGAAAAGCAAAGAACCAAGAAGAAAGGATTGAAAACATTTTAAATTTAGGCAGAAAGGAAGCACCAGTAAAGCTGCAAGCAGCAAAGGCGGAACGCAGGAGAAATTGGAAACTAGCAAGCGAAAGCCAAGTTATTTCGGAAGGAAACAGAAAAGACGGTCTGAGCACAGCACAAGCACCAACAGGACTCCAGCCTCTGCGCCCTCACAGTTGCAGAGGGGAAGATGTTCTGAGACCAGCACCCCAGAGCACCAGGTCCCACAACAACGGCAGCCCAGGGAAGCTGCTCCTGAGCTTCAGTTCACCGGCCCTGGGCCCTAAGCAAGAAAGAGGGACGCCTGACAGTGCTTCAGCTGGTGGCAGACGCGGGCGTCATCCCCGTGGTGCTGTTCTGGGCGTGTGCAGAATGCAAGAGTTACAGGGTCAGAAAAGCTTCCACCCAGAGTTCAGAAGAAGGCCTGGGCGGCCAGGCAGTGTGCCCCCGAGACCCCTGGGGACCCTGGAAGTTTGGAGAAGCTGGGAATGCAAGTTGTCTGAAGAAAAGTGCAAGGAGGGAACAGAGCCACGCCAGCAGACACCATGGAAGCCATGACCACTGGCAGTGGCGCAGGGGCAGACGCACCCAAGCGCTCTGGAGTTCACAGACTGCCACGGATTGCCAGAGATGCTACAAGTGGAGCTGAGAGATTAATGTTGGCCCTGATGGATTTTGGTCTTGCCTTGCTCCAATTCCTTGTGTCCCCATTTACAACTTTTGGAATGGAAGTGTGCCACTGAACGTTGGAAGTGTTCAACTTTTCATTCATACAGGGGCTTGCAGCTAAGAGTTTGCCTTAAATCTCAGAGGAGACGTTGGACTTGCACTTTTCAGCAATGCCGAAACTGTCAGGACTTTGGCGATGCTTAAACACGGATTAAATGCCTCTGGCATAAAGAGATGCGCTTGGACCTTTGGGAGCCACAGGCAGATGGTTATGGCTTGTGTCTAGATGTCCCCCCAAAGCCTCATGCAGAGCCGAGGAGATGGCTCAGTAGAATAAGCACTTCCCTGGCACAAGGGCCTGAGTTCAATCCCCAGTTCTGAAAAAAAAAAAAAAAAAAAAAGCCTCATGCAGTCACAGGTGGGACTCTTTCAGAGGTGGCTGGACGTAGAGCATGTGACACTAGGACTCACTCATGGTGCAGTGCTAAGCTCAAGGGCACCAGGATTAAGGGTGAGAGTGCTTCCTGCCCTAAGAAGCCTGGTTAAGATATGAGGGGCAGAGGGCTGTGGCTGCCCCCTGCTTGCTTGGCTACCCCTGCCCACCGTGAGCCTGGATGCCCGTTTGCTGGGCCACCCTACCTGGGAGCCAATTATGGACCAAACAAACTTTTCCTCCTTGAACTTTGGGTGTTGGGCATCTTGTCTCAGCAACAAGCAACTGAGACACCTCAGAAGAGTGAGCGGTGTCATGTGTACAGGACAGATTCCCAGTACCATTATCAAAAAAAAAAAAAAAAAAGCCACTGCGCAGAGCAGCACTTCTGCAGTGGCCACTTCCAGTTGGGTAGCTGGTGTGCACTGGTTTAGTTTGGTTTGTGGTACTGAGGGTTGAACCCAGGACCTTCACACTGTGCTTCATCCTCGGCGCTTTTCTCATTTTCATTTTGAGCCAGGGTCTTTCTGAGTCTCTAAATTGCCCTGGCTAAACTCAAACTTGTGATTTTCCTGTCGCAGCCTACCAGAGTGCTAGGATTACAAGCAGGCACCATCGTGCCTGCCTGGGAAGCTGTCCCTTGTGCAGTGTGCAGAGGACTCGGGGTTACTGCAGACCACTGTGCCTGTGCCCCAGGTTTCTTCCCCTGCTCATCTGGATCCCAGACCTGGCAGGCCCAGCAGAGCAGGTGGCAGGTGTGCAGGGCTGGCGGGCACCGGCGTGTTGGGGTCTGAGGAGATGACTTCACCCGTCTTCTTGCCCTCAGGCCCCTCGGGGACCAGGTCCGGGGTGCTGTACTTGCCGTTGACATGCTCAAACTCCTGAACCTGGGAAGAGGCAGGCAGGGTGGCTGTGGCTCAGCCCTGAGAGTCGAGGAGTGCCAGCAGAACTGCAGGTGTCATGGGTTTGGGGCTCAGGGGGTATCCCTGTCCCAGGCTGACCGAGACAGACACATTCTTGACCACAAACTGCCTGCCATTCCCCAGCTCCCTCCTCACCCTGTGACCCGCCAACCTGGCCAAGACCTCCCAGAACCCTCGCTCAAGACCGGACCATGGACAGCCTCTGTCCTGAGCAGGCACTGGGTCTCTGACTGCTGACCCCCAGGAGCAGTGCCAGGGCCCATGTGATGTGAGGCTTACTCACCCACCTTCTTCCTAACCAGTGACATGACCCCGATGCGTGTGAGCACATGCTGCCGGGAGAGCCCCTCTCGGGGAACACCATCAGCAAAGGTCTCCGCACCGTCAGCCCCAGGCTCACACAGGTGCCGCATGAAGAGGGACACATAGGCTCTGGGGTGGGAGAACTAGGGCTCAAAAGTCGGAAGGATCCCGGGGACCTCTCAGCTGGAACCACCTGCCTCCCAACCAGCCTGTGAGCCCTGTCCCAGCAGAGGACAGAGGGGCCAGGGGACCTGCAGGACAGCCGCTCCCACTCCAGCTGCTCTAGGCAGAGGACTGGCTGGCATTTTCTGCAAATCCTCCCTGCATAGCACCCCACACCCAAAATCCAGGCTATGGCATTCACCAGGAGACCCCCTCCCCAGTGGGGGCACCCTGGGCCAGGGGTGGGGGGTGCCTCTACCTGAACTCCTTCTCGCTCTTGCCACGCAGGTCCCGCACCAGCCAGTGGGAGTTGAAGGCGTCCTGGGGCGGCATGCCCCAGCGCATGATGGCGTTCAGGAAGGCCTTCCGCTGCCGTGCGTTGAAGCCCAGCACCTGGGCAGGTGGTCAGCAGGCAGGTGGCCCCGGTCAGGGACAAGGTGGGCACCAAGAACTCGGGAGTGTAGGAAGAAGAGGGTGGGCCTGCAACCCGCCTGGCCTCGCTTCTACTTGGCATGTGACCCTGGGTGCCTCCCCCCCCATGTAGGAAGGCCCTACCTCAATGTTGCCACCAACTCGAGCAAGGAGAGGCGGCAGGGGCTTGTCCCTGTCGCTCTTGAGCTGCCTCCTGGATTGTCGCCGTCCACCTGGGGAACAGCCCAGCATAACCCTCAGGTTCCCCACCCACCACCACCACCACATCCCAGGGCAGCAGAAACCCCCAGCGAGCCCCAGCCCAAACCCACCCCACCACCAGCAACACCGGCACTCACTCTGGCCCTCTGGCCTCTCCTCGAAGTCCTCATCCTCATCCTCGGAGCCGATGGAATACTCAGACTGGTTGTCCGAGAGCTCGTCCTGCCACTCTGTGGGAGCCCAGCACAGGGGCACGGAGTGCGCTGTGCAAGCAGAAGCCAGCCCAGTCCCCACCCACAGCCACCAAGGCCAGGTGAGTCCTGGCACCTCAGCCCAGGAATGGCAGAGACCGGCAAGGGCCACCATGCACTTCCGGTCTGCTCCTTAACGATGCCCACAACACGTGCGTGAAAGGACTGGATGAGCACACCCTATCGCACAGGCCTGCCTGTGGGCAGAAACGGCACGACTGACCACCGAATGACAGCTCCAGCCCTGCTGCCCTTCTCACAGACAGGAAAGCTGAGGCTCAGGAGCAGCACAGCCCGGCATCCATCTGTCTCCTGGCCCCGTCTGCCGACTCCCCTTCTTCTGGAGCCTCCCGGCCTGGCCCAGGGTGCTCTTGCCGAGAGCCCTGCCACCCCAGCACTCACCCTGGTCCTCCTGGGAAGCATCATTGTAGTTGACCTGCTTCCGGATGCGCTTGCCCTTGCCCAGATTCCGCGCCAGGTCCTCCTGCTGCTGCTCGTAGTGGTGCCGCAGCAGCTTCTCCCAGTAGTCAGGGTCCACGTTCTCCTCCTGCTTGATTACCTCCCGCTCTACCTCCTCCTGGGGACACGTGGGCACCGGTGTGAGCGAGGCAGCCACCTCTGGCCCCCTCTGCCACCTCTGCGGGCTCAGGGGTACAGGCTTGAACAAGGCCTGGCCTGGCCCTACCCTGCCCTCAGAAGGCTCCAAAGAGAGGGATGGCTGGCACTCAGGGAGCTCAGGGAGGTGCAGGGGTCCCCAGGAGAGGCCCAGGAGGGAATCAGAGATGCCCACAGGGTGGAGAGAGAAAATACGGCGGGTGTGCTCTGGGAAGGGCTGTCTGGCCCGGAAGGAGCTGGCCTGAGGCAGGTGGGGTCAGGACTGTGAGACCAGCTGGGCAGGGCCTGAAACCAGCCCTCACCAAGCCTCTACACAAGGTGGCAGATCCCCAGCATTTCAGAGGGTAGGTGAGAAAGCTGGAGCCCAGGGAGGAGGCCACAGTTTATGTCCCACAGGCCTTGGTGGGTCTGGGATTGCAACCCCTTCAGCATCATCTCAGCCTGAGGGCAGCCCACAGGAAGAAGCAGGGCCTGGCACGAGGGGACAGGGCTGTTATGGGATGGGTGTGGCTACAATGCAGAGGGCGAGGCCACCACAGGAAGTGAGGTCCCCCCATAGGTGGGGCCACAGCTAGGAGAGCAGGGCCATCTCAGGAGAGTCAGGGGCCCTTACCACGCCGTCCTCCTCGCGCACCACGTACTGCGCCACCTTGAAGGAGCTCAGGTACTCATTCATGTTCTGCAGCTCTGTGTCATCAGTAGCATCCTGGTTCCGGTCCAGCAGCTTCGAGATGGCTGCATCATCATAGTGGATCACGCTGCTGTCCTCCACATCTTTGTTGTCACCTGGGAGGGTGGAGTCCCACATGGGGACACGGACACAGAGTGCCCAGGCCCACTCCCGGTTCCCCCTGGGGCTGGGGCCAGGGACCAACGCAAGCAGACATGGGCTGGCCAGCATGCCCAGCTGCAACGCCCGAGAGGAGTGGCAGGGAGCCCGCTCCTCTCCAGGAGCCGCCCCTACCTGGTGGGGTGCTACCATGCTTCTTTTTCACACCAGCAGCCAGGGCACCGCCCTTGGAGGACTGAACATCAGGGATGGGAGTGGCTGGTCTCTGGCCCTGGGACATCATGCCTGCAGGGCAGCAGAGGAGGTTGCTGGCACCGGGCAGAGGGCCAAAGGGGTGGCAGGCAACATGCAAACCTCCCACCTGGATGACTGGGAGGGGAGGGACCCTGGGGCCTGGGCCCCACCACACCCCGTAGCAGGAGGCCCACCCTCCACGTCATCCTTGAAGAGCTCCTCTGTGCCGAACTTGAGGATGTCGTCCAGCTCCTGCTTGGTCATGGAGCCTGACTTGGAGCCCAGGCCCGGCCGTACCACCAGGTGGGTCAGCATCATCTTGCGCTTGGCCACCTGTGTGATGCGCTCCTCCACTGATGCCCGAGTCACAAAGCGGTAGATCATCACCTTCTTGTTCTGCCCAATGCGGTGGGCACGGCTGAAGGCCTGGGGAAGACCACCAGGGGCTATGGGCACAGGGCCAGTGCCATGTGGTGGGGCATGACGGGAGCCCATGGCAGAGGAAGGGGCTGCCCCCACTGCATGTGGAAGGAGGCACCGTGCACAAGCTGGTGCCGCCATGCCCACTGCCCTGACTGCCCAGCTGTGTGCGGGCCTGGTGGCCAAGGTGGGCTGGAGGCAAGGATGCCCAAGCGGGTAGACTGCACCGTGGAGCAGGTGCCAGGTCTGCACAAGGCCCAGCACAGCTCCGCCAGGACTGCACCTCCTGCATGTTAGGAGCTAACACCTGCAAGACCAGGAGCTGGACACACAGGGCAGCCTCCCAAGGGACAGCCCTGGGCAGTGATGACCCTGTATGACGGCAGCTGGGCGCCTGCATGAGTGGGACCTGAGTGCATTCCCCACCATGTGCTAAATGTGTGTGGGAATAGCTCGTAGCTCAGTTCCACAGCCCCAGCCCTCCCCACACTTGTCAGCCCTACCGCCCCTCCTGCATCTCTTCCTCTCCCCCCCAACAGGCCCCAGATTGTGCCCCCATCCACCCAACACCGGCACCCTGAGTCCCAGGGTGCCCTCATCCTGCCTCCTGCATGACCTTGGCCCCGAGCTGCCGGACGGACCGGGGTCAGCGGCCACAGGCAGCTGTGTGCCTTAGACACCTTCGCTTCCCCTCAGGACCTGTTTCCTCCTCTGTACAGTGAGAGAGTGCACCGCCCAGGACCCCCTAGAACCAGGAAAAGCCCAGCCAGCAGGATATGAAGATGGGGGGCAGAACGGGAGGCTGCTGACCTGGATGTCATTGTGTGGGTTCCAGTCCGAGTCATAGATGATGACCGTGTCTGCTGTGGCCAGGTTGATGCCCAGGCCACCAGCCCGGGTGGACAGGAGGAAGCAGAACTGCTGGGCCCCAGGGGCTGGGGAAAGAGGCCAGCAATGGAGTGGGACAGCAGGGGCCAGTGGGTGACGGACAGGGGAGAGTGGGTAGGGAGATGGCAGGGTGCACACTGCAGGGACAGGTCCCGAGACAAGGACATTTCCAAAACCCATCACAGATGGGTGGCCAAGAACCCGTGTGAGCCCGTGCAGCCCCCAAAGATGCCCTGAGCCCTGACCTAGTGCAAAGAAGCCACACGCTGTCCACTGCCACCTGTCACTGGGTTTATATGGTGTATCAGCCAGACCCTCAGGACCCTTGGGACCAGCTTCATTTGGTGACAAAGATGACATTTTCCTCCCTCACCTGTTTTTTTCCTAATTCTAATTCTGTTCAGAGCAGTGTTAACTGCTGGGCCTCCCAGTGCCCCAGTTGACCACTGAGGTCCCTTGGGGTGAATCTTTTTAACATCTAAAGCTAAGGGACATCACTGTGACCTGAGAATTGGGTCTGCTTCCCTCAGCTGTTTGCAGAGCAGTTCATGGGCTACCAGGGGTGCCCACGAGAACCCCCATGCAGCGAGATACCGTTGAATCTGTCGATTGCCTCTTGCCGGAGGCCCCCTGTGATGCCACCATCAATTCGCTCATACTTGTAGCCCTCATACTCCAAGAAGTCCTCCAGAAGATCCAGCATCTTGGTCATCTGCAGGGGAGAGATGGGAGAGCTGCCATGGAGCCAGGAGCCCCATGGGATACAGACAGGGACCCACTGTGGGCGGGAGGGAGAGTGCAGCCCGCTGCATGGAAAGCAGAACTCAGCTGGGGCTGCAGCTCGACTCAGTGAAGCATGTGGCCTCTAGTCTCCCACTGGACAGCCAATCTGCCCTCCACCACCTCAGCTTTCAAGAATGAGCCTGACTTCTCACCTGTACTTAGGACTCCACCAGCCTCCCCAGCCCATCCCAACCCCAATTCTCTTTTTGGAACACCCATGCCCTTACTACCCAGAGAAGTCAAACATCAGCTCTTCTGTGATGTGTCTCTGTTCACCACTTCCCCAGGAGAAAAGGGCAGAAATCTCCTCTGAGCTCCCATAACCATGTCTGCTCCACAGTGGTCTTGGGATAGTTTAGCTGGGTATGAAACTCATCTGGCAGCTCCCTCTGGTGCATGGATGAAGCCACCAGTCTCCACCACCTGTCCTTGTGAGGTGGAGCCTGTGGACTGTCTGATCCTCTTTCTTCTATAGGTTTCAGGTGCCTACAGGTTGGTTTCTCAATACTGCCCTTGCTTGGTGTTCCACAATGCACTTCAGATCCGAGACCTCATGTTCCTTGCCACCCCTACAAACTTGTTCAACCCTGCTTTGCACAATCTCTTGTTTTTTTCTCTGGAAACTCCTGGAGCCTTCCAGGATAGTGTCCGTGCCCTTTCTGATTTTATCACCGTCCCTCCACACTGCATCCTGGGAGATCACTCAGCACCATGACCCAGTTCACCAGGTCTCTTCAGTGGCACTGAGAGCTTATCCTCTGGTGAAAGTTTTATCTCAGTGACTACATGCAGGATTACCTGCCATTTCTTTACCTTCTTCTTTTGCCTAATTAATTTCTTCTTGGCTCATGAGTGTTGGCCATGAGGACTCTTATTTCTGAGGCCTCTTGACCTGCCTATTTGGCCTTTTTCAAGCCTCCTATTACAGTTTTCATTTAGATTCTAATTGTTCTGTGAGATGTCTTAGCATCCAGTTTCGTGACAGGTTGGGGAGCTGGGGTTGACGCTAGCACTTGTCCAGTTCCTTCTGCTTGGTCTCTCCACTTCTTTGCCCAGACTTGCATCTTATGCTGGCAGTGGTATCGAGGGATTGTGACTCTCTCCCAGCCACCCACTGTTACAGGCTTGGCCTGCTGTCCTGGAACCCTGAGGCCCACCACCCACTTAGGGTGCATCACAGGCTGTGGGGACCAGTAGCTATTTCCACTTGACCCTTGTACACAGAGGAGCTGAGTCCCAGGTTCGGGCTTTGAGCAACGCGTCTGGCTCTGGCTGGCCGAGAGTGCACTTTTAGCCCCCTAATTCTACAGGTTCATCCCTATGACCTCCAACAAGGCCAGAATGGGAACAAGCTGTCTTGTGAGCTGCCTGCCAATCTAGACCGAGGAGCCTGAGGACAGGAAACACATCCTCTGTGTGATGTGTGGCAGACGCAAAGCGATGGAGGGAAAACGGGACGGCCGAGCCTCTGACCGTGCAGAAGTAATGCTAAGGCTTAACCCATCAGGACACAGGGGAGTGGCCCTAACGCCCTACCCCCCGGGGGTGACATCAGGCCTAAAGGGGCATGGGCAAGGCTGGCCTTTGGGGCAGGACGCTCTGGCCCACCTGGGAGAAGATGAGCACACGGTGCCCTTCGTCCCGCAGTTTCTTCAGCATCTTCTGCAGCAGCATGAGTTTCCCTGAGGACTTGACCAGGGAGCTGCCATCGTAGGAGCCATTGGGCAGGACAGGGGCTTCCTATGGAGCGGCAGAGAGGAGTCTTGGGGGGCTGCAGAGGAGGGGAGGCCTGGCCAGCGACCATGGCCTGGGACAAGCCCTGGGTCACATGGTCTGTGCTCCAAGTATGCACCATCCCTGCCCAGGGCCTTGCTCCCTGGCCGAGAAGTCAGGGAGCAAACACGATGAAACCACGCTTCACTGCCTTTGCCCTGGCAGTCACTGGCCACCCCTCTGACTGGGACCCCAGCTAGGCCACGGCCCACTGGAAGGCTGAATTCCGGTGGAATCCCTGCTGCACCAGTACCGGAAGAGTGCGCAGGTGGCCTGAGCCATGGAAACCAGCACAGCTCCCCCGCCTGACTCATGGAGCTGGGAGGGAAGGTAAAACTGTCCAGGTCCTAAGTTGGAACCTGGGCAGCGGTGGCACTGGCGGTGGCGGTGGTGACTAAGGGCGCTAGAAGCCCAGACTTTCTACAAGTACTCTCCACAGAAAGTTCGTCCCCCGTCCCCACCCACGGGCTTCCTGGTGTCAGAGGACGATGCAAAGCCCAGAGGGGCCCTAACCATGTCCAGGCCACAGCACCACGGCTGGCCATCGGACCCCACACTTCACACTTCCCTCACAGCCAGGGACAGGGGAAAGGACCGCGGCTGAGGGGTCTGCAGGGGATGTGGCCCTCCCCTTCCCTAAGGATCACAGGGAGGGAACACGGCCAGGAGGAACCCTGTGTGGCAGCCTACCACGGCAGCCACAGGGAAGAGGTAGGGGTGGTTGCAGACACCCAGGGGTCTGAGGGAGCCTACCACGGCAGCCACGGGGAAGAGGTAGGGGTGGTTGCAGACA